TCACAAGTTAAAACTCTTCTAGGATATATTTGTTCAGATCATTCATTTTAACAAATACAACAGCCATTTTATAATTTTTTCCCTATATCATTCTAATTGTAGTATATTTCTACTTTTTTTAGCCAAGGGTCATACTATACACATTTCCAATTTCCCTACCCAGTGGCACATAAAGTAGAAATCAATAAACATATCAAAAACTGATACCAATCTACATGACTGCTTTGCCAAATAAAATGTCATTTAGCTGGGGGATAAACACCAGGTGCACTAAAGAAAAAATTAACATAAGTTCCATGTTAAGTATCTACTATCTACCTTGCATATACATGGTATCAAAAAACATATTTGTAAGACAGCAATTTTCTGCTTAATATTTATACATTTAGATATAGAATTAAATTTTATGTTTTGATTATTTAAAATATCTCACTTTTACTCTTCATCCAATTTTAAATATAGCTGATGGTACTCTATTTCTCATATTAAACAAAGGATGCTAGTTTAAATTTACATTTGATAATGGCAAGATATGCTATAATTTTTGTGTTAATATAGGTATATTGATAAATTAATAACCACTGTTAAGAACTGTGGGTATTATACTTTCAACATACACTTTTTATTTGTCTAGAGTTTTTTGCTTTCTTTTTGTATGGCTGTTTACAAAAGAACTGTCAAACCACATGAGATGATGTAGACCCTGAATTTCTACCTATTAAAACAAGATGACTTGGAAGAATTTGCAATAAAAACTGCTGGTTCTGTGGACAAAACCATAAAATTTTAAAACCTATTCTCACAAGTGCAATGAAGAAACTTCTAGTATGCCATAATTGGTGACTCACAAGTTTTGTTTTATAACTTTAGGAAATCACCTATTCATCTGAAAACTTTATTTACAGTTAACTATCATTCTGAACACTGAACTGCTGTACACATAAAATATATTTCCCTTTGAATAACGGGTGTTTTAATGTATGTATAGTTTTAAATTTTTATATTCGTACTGTTACAAGGGGCTGATTCTAAAAAGCTCAGCTTTTAAAATACCTACAAAATTTCTTGAAAAGAAGCTCTGGGTATGTGTATGCCTTCACTTAGAGTATATAAACTAAAAATATATTAAAGAAAGAAAAACTTACCTTGCACTATAATTTTTTCATTAAATAGAATTTATGGAATGCCTTATACATCAAACTAATACGAGAGACTATACAAGGTAAAAACACAGTCTATAGCTAATTTTGTCATTTATGGAAGAAAGCTTTAGTTCTTCTAAACATTTCCCCAGGAAAGATGACTAATTATTAATTGTGAAAATGTTGGCAAAAATACTAATCTCTCTTTTTGTTTACTTTTGCATAACTTAGGTAGAACAATGTTTATTTCAAACATTATTTCATAGTATAACTGAGTTGAGTCAAAACTGTTGTAAAATAATTTACCACAATGCTTTGTAAATAGTAGATGCTCAATAACCAGCTTTTGTACGAATAGAATTTCTCACTGATTCATTTGTTTTCCATCTTGGTTGAAAAGTAGTAAATGGTATTTTCTCCTACAGAGTCGGACAGGGAAACAAGCAAGATACGAGAAGGGACCCCAAAATATTTTATTTTTTTTTAAATTGTGTATTTATTCTTCTATGTTTAAACTTTAGTCACCTTCAAGGTACTCTCCTTTTGATGCAATACACCTATCGAGACACTTTCTCCAGTGCTCAAAACAGCTTTTGAGCACATCAATTTTGATGCCTTTTAGCACTTCTGCCATTTTTTGTTTCACCTCTTCCACATTAGCAAAATGTTTCCTTTTGAGGACTTGTTTCATTTGTGAGAAACAAAAAAGAAGTAGCTTGGTGGGAGATAGGGCAAATGGTAGTAGGGGGGCATGGGATCATGCAATTTTTTTGTTCAAAACTGTTAAACACTCAGTATGGTATGGGCAGATGTGCTCATAAATCACCCATCATGCAATGGGCAAATACCTTGAAAAAAATCTCCAAAAAAGTATTCACTGAAGCTGAACACAGCTTCTCACAACGTCAGCTGATACACTGATGCTGATGGGCTCCTAGAACACTTACTTAAGGAGGTGGTCCTGTACTACAAGGAGCTATTCTCAAAAAAATATGAGCCGGGCGTGGTAGAGCGCGCCTGTAGTTCCAGCTACTTGGAAGGCTGAGGCAGAAGGATCACCGGAGCCCAGCAGGTCGAGGCTGCAGTGACCAGAGCGGCCACTGCACTCCAGTCTGGGTGACAGAGTGGGACTCCAACTCAAATAATAATAATAATAATAATAATAATAATAATAATAATAATTGTTTTTTTGAGAAGTCCCCTTCATACCATTGTTGTTGTTGGCCAAAAGTGAAATGCTTAAAAATTATCACTTTATCTTGCTCAAATTGGAAAGATTTCAGTATGCTTCTTAAGCATATAGTTTTGTATCAGTCCCGAAGTGTTTGATCTTGGTTGTCAGTTTTACTAAAGTTAATGTCATTAGGGCCCTAATCAGAAGCTAAAAAAAAGATACTTTGTCTTTCTGGGTGTTTTTCTGAGAAATCACTGATAAAACAATTTTTCTAATAAAAGAATGAATTCTAGCTATTAAAAACAAATAACATGCTTACAAATCAAAAGTTAATAAGGTTAAACATAAAGATCTCTAAAGATTCTTCAAAGCATTTTGTAACTGGTCATATTGTAGCAAGGAAAAAGAACTTTGTGATGAAAAGCACTAGAAAGATTCTTTCTGAACATGGTAAGTTATAAAAACTTTTTTTTTTTTTTTTTTTTTTTTTTTTTTAGAGAAGGATCTCACTTTGTTGTCCAGGCTGGAATGAAATGGCGTGATCATAGCTCACTGTAATCTAGAATACCTGGGCTCAAGGGATACTCCTGTCTAAGCCTCCAGAATAGCTGGGACTCTAAGCACACACCACCATGCCTAGCTAATTTTAAACAATTAATTAAATTATATATATATATATTTTTTTTTTTTTTTTTTTTTAAAGATAGGACTTTGCTATGTTGCCCAGGCTGCTGGTCTCGAATTCCTGGGCTCAAGCAACCTTCCTACCTCAGCCTCTTAAAGTTGTGGGATTACAGCATGAGCCACCACCTCCAGTCATAAATACATATTCTTACAAACATACACACAGTTACAAATAGATACCAAGAATTCAGCCTGAATTGGTAATACTTAGTAACAGTTGTATTAAAGTCAATACCAGAGTGAATGTTGTTAATAATGTTATCTATTGTTAACTAAATAACTAGACAAGAAAGCATATGAGATATTCATGAAGAAAAGAAGTAGTAAGTATAATTTTTTTTAAATGTAAGTATTATTTACCTGGAAAGCACTAGAAGTTTTAAGAATTATTAGGAAAAAAATGAGTTCAATAAGGTAACCAAATAACAAATAATTATAAAAATTATCATCATATAATTATAATAATTATAAAACTTTAGTGCCATTTAGAAGGATGTGATGGTGGAAGAAAGGATACTACATATAATACAATGAAAACAAAACATACCTAGAATAATCTACCCCAAAATGCAAGGGATCAAAATAAAGAAAATTATATAAAACTTCACTGATGCCTAAGGAAAGAACACATGAAAAATAGTTTATATATGTATTAAAATATCAATGACATGAAATGAAACAACAAATCCAATGAAATCTCAAAAACGAAACTCAGTTCACATAGAAATATAAACATGTTATATTAGTCTATAAAAGAATACGGTAAGCAAGAAATCACTTTGTCATATATTAAAATGTGTTCCTGTTACAATATTTGCAATGTCAGGATTGGAATAACAGAAGAATATAATGGAAATTTCTAAATATGCACACATAAATGTACACTAATTTTGTATGTCGGGTTTTAAAGCAGAAAATGGAAAGCAAATTGCTCAATAAATGGTGTTTGTAAGTGCCTAATTATTTGTTCTAAAAAAAAAAAAAAGGTATTTCACACCAAAAAAAAATTCAGGTGGTTCAAAATTTCAAGGGGGAAACAAAATTAAAATGTTAGAAAAACTCTAAATTTGTGAATGGACATTAAAAATAATAATGAACCAGAGAAAGACTTCTTTCTAAATATATAATATATAAAATGAGAAACTGTGAAAGGGAAAGTAAAATCTGGGTGGGAAAAATTTTATTTCACTATAATGAAATCAGCAGAAAATAGCTGCAAGAAATGTAATTAACAAAGTTTTATAAATGGAATACATAAAACATTCTTCAAATTGTTTTTCGAAATTTTTGAACAATACTTACAACGTCAGAAATGCAAATAATAAAGATATAAGGAATTATTAATCTCATTGTAATCAGGAAAAGTCTGATAAAAGTATAAGGAATGTATATTTTACTGATGAATTTGGAAATATTATCTATGTCTCGGATGATGTATGAAAATCATTTTACTCATTTTGAAGATACTCCTGCAATTCCATTTCTAGGTATTTATGTTTCCCTTTCCAAAGATATATAACTGGAACATAGAAACAAAGATGTTCATTTCGACATTGTTTATAATGTGAAAATTAAAAATAACTTAAAATATATTTTCAATAGAATGGTGTAAATTGGAATACAATCAAATAATATTAAGTATTGGAAGTGAATTAAAGTGTATACAATTATTTTTTTAAAAATCAAATTATAAAACAATATGCATATGAAAATCTGCAAACAAATGGTAATAAATATGCACTAAAAATACTGGCAGCGGTTCTCTCTGCAATGTGAGATTACACCTTCTACTTCTGTGCTGTTTGCTTTTTTACAATGAGTACATTTTATTTTCCAAAATAAAAAATTAAAATAACATAATAAAACCTCAGTATGAGCGTCTTCTTCAGGAAATAGCAGTCGATAATGAAAGAAACAAGGACATTCAAGTCTTCATCTCTGTTCTAGAAGATGAAACGGTTTCATACAGATGATCAGCTTCTTTTGTTTTCTCCCACTAGGGAAAGGTGAACATGGGAAACCTTACCCCCTTACTGAAGAGGAACATGACGACTCAGCTTACAGGGAAAATGGTTTCAATATTTTCGTCAGCAACAATATTGCTCTAGAGAGATCTCTGCCAGATATCCGTCATGCTAAGTGAGTATTAGTACATCAGGTGTGCAGGGTGGATTGTTTGTTTAATTGTTTTGCTTTACTATATTTAATATATGCTACTCTGAGATATGTAGCCAAAATTTTTGCCCTCATAATTCTGATTAAATATTTTGTTTCATATTCTTAATACTCTTAGTATGCATAATCTAAATTGAAGTAATCTTTAAATTTCCAAAAGACTACCAAATCTCTAGAAATTCAATACACATATTTGTTGATGATATTATCTTATTAAAAATGAAATATTTTAAGATAATATTTATACTTTTAGTGTTTGAGTGGGTAAGTCGTGAAGCAAGTAATTTTCTCAGGTTAACAGTGCCATCATAAATGTTGACATGCATATGTCTTCCATGAACTTCATTCTAACTCAGCTGTGTTCAGTGACATTGCTGTCACATCTTCCATGAAGAATGCCCAAAAATAATGCACCCATAATCCAAAGGCAATGATTGTGCCTTGTCAATGGGCAGTGAGTTCAGTTTATATTGAGCCATAACTAAATATTATAGTGGAAAGGGAGACACGAATAGTACTACATAGTTACCTGAAATCTATCTTCTCCCTATCCACTTAATCTATCTCTGAAAAAAAAATTATTGTTCTCTTTGTCCTAATCTGTTATGGTTTTCCTGATTGTATAAACAACACTAGAAAGGGTGGCATGGAATGTGGCCAGAACCTATAATGTGATATTGGCTTGCAAATTTGATAGATCTTTCCAATTGTGTTAAAATACAGTTATCCTTCCATCCACCACAATCTCTCAATCTCCCTTTGAAACACCAGTGGAAGAGAAAAAAAACCAAGAGAAAAAAAAAAAAAATCAGAGCAGCTAATGAAAATAAGGATTAGAAATCTAAGTGCAACCAGTCAAGTAAATAAAACTCTTAACTTTGTGCCAAGATAAATGACTCTTAAAAAATCAGTCACTTATGGTTCAGAGGACTATTTTCTGTTGCCAATATTTTGTCTTTATGAATTTTTTTTAATATAAAAGAAGTACTCTTTTCTTTCTCAGATTTTATGTGAATTTGCATTTCCCAATATAGTTAAGCAGAAGATTAAGTGAAAAATGAATCGATTTTTTTCTAAACTGAATATTTTATATATTGGTCCAGGCCTTTTAGTCAGCCAAATTATTCCCAAGTTACCTGAAATTATCTACCGTAATTCCCATTGACCGAGACTATTTCTGGTTATGAGAAATTTTAATACCTAATTGCACACCATCAAAGATGCATTAGATTGCATTGTTGGCATAATAAATATGCTCAGAGAATAATTTTCATCTCTCCACCTCCTCTCCAACTCATACTTGCAATATTTTAATGTGTATTCAAGTGGAAGGAATTGCAGGTAGAAATAGTGCAGAAAATCACTGAAGTCAAAGAAGGTAGTTATTCCTATGCTTTTCAGAGTGTATTTTTAGTGTAACTATCACCTTTAAAAATACATATTTGTGAATAATAATGAGAAAAAATAGCAAGATGGAAAGAAAAATATTTTGAAATTGTTATTAGAGTTACTGCATTTACAGTATGAAGAAAACATTATTCTAAATGTTAGGGAAGAAAACTGTGGCTAAAATATAACCTGTGGTCATATTCTAGTTACTAAAGCTGGTATCTAATAGGAAAAGTAGTCATGGAGTAAATTGATAACAAAAAGGGAAAAAAGCAAAAGAAAAATAGAAGCAAATGAAAACACACACACACACACACACCCTTAACAGATGGTTTGAGATTGGTAACAGGAAAGCGTTAAGTATGAAACTTCCAGGAATAACGGTTTACCTTGATGACTCCAGCAATACTGGAAGTCTGAGGTTGTCTCTGATTTTGTCGAAGTCCGACCTACCGGAAACCCAGAAAGTCCTATAGGGATCACTGTCTAAAGTTCTACGATTTCGCCTGTGCTTCCCGAAATGCGAATGCGTTTAACCACAAGAATATGCAGGTTGCCGGGTTTGGTGGCTCAAGTTTGTAATCCCAGAACTTTGGGAGGACGAGGTGAGAGATTGCCTGAGCTCAGGGGTTCGAGACCAGCCTGGGCAATTTGGTGAGACCTCGTCTCTACAATAAATCAAAAAATTAGCCAGTGGTGGTAGCACGCGCCTGGAGTTCCAGCTACTTAGAAGCAGGTTGAGACTGCGGTGGCCGCAAGCATGCCACTGCCCCCCAGCCTGGGTGACAGAGTGAGATTCCAACTCAGATAAAAAACAGTAGCATGCAGCTCTTTGTAAGTGATCCCTAAAACTGTAGAATCAACTTGCCATATTGTCAATGTAACTAGGCTGCAAGTAATGGACCATAACTTATTTATATTGACACAAGCACAGAAGAGAAGGTAGGATGGGTGTGGCTTTTCAAATAAACTGCAATATTTCTAAGACACTTTGCATTTTCAATCAGCCAGTTGAAACTACAGGCTTAGAGTGCTGGAAGGGAATAGTTTATTTTTCTTTGCTTAACTTGATCTTTTTTCCAAAGCAGTGCATTTCCTTAGTAGTGCATTTGCTGTTGTGCTGTGTTACAGGTCGTTCTCTGTGAATTCAAGTGCTCTGTGCCCTTTCCTGTTCTCACATTCAGTAAACAAGTCTGTGCTTCCGAAATGCAAATCCAGACGTTTTTAATATATTTAGTGCACATCTTTTTCGCTGTCAAGAATGTTTGGGACAAGTTATTCCTGAAATCCCAATTCATGGGCATTAAAGAAAAAATTCCCTGCTTCTTTCCTCTTCTCTAGTCTGAAAATGAACAGTGTTCCACTGACTTTATTGTTTCAAAGTTAGTAATTGATTTTATAGTAGGAGCCGTAGATAAAAGAAAGCTCATTGGCATGTGTGCATTATTTGATCAGTCTTACTTTTTTATTAATAATACATTTCAAGATTTTCGCTTATGTTTTTAAATTTCTTATGTTTTCTTTTCAAATGCTTTTAGCATCTCTTCGTCTTGCAAATTGTTTTAGCTTTTCTCACCATCTATGCTTTGGCATTGTATTGCCAATTTTTTCATCTCTTCCTCCATACTCCTAGCCCTAGGGTGATTTTGTTTTATGGTTTTTTAGGATATACTCTGTATTTTAAATGCTCACTCCCTTTTTCTATTAGTGTCAAGTCATGTCTTTATCCATAGTACCTGGGCTCAGCCTGAAGTCTGTCTTTAGAGCATCTTATCTTTATATTTTATTTAATATAATGTTGATAAGGATGTTACTATAAACACGTCTGTATGACAGATGTCCAGTAAGGATATCTTGCTGGCCTTTATTTTGCCACACTTCAGTTTTTTTCTCCTCCTGTATATTAATTGTGCATTGTCTCTGCATCGTCACCTTCCTGGGATGCCACATGTATGCTTTGTATACAGTGGAACACCTTGACTTTTAGTCCAAGAAAGGACATCTCTTTGAAATACAAAATATAGCCAGGCTCGGTGGCTCAGCCTGTAATCCTGAGCCTTTGGGAGGCTGAGGTGAGTGGATTGCCTGAGCCCATGGGTTCAAGACCCACCTAGGCAGCAAGATCTCATCTCTACAATAAATCAAAACATCAGCCAGGCGTGGTAGCACATGCCTGTAATTCCAGCTACTCTTGGAAGGTTGAGGCGGAAGTATCGCCAGAGCCCAGCAGGTCGAGGCCACCGCACTCCAGTCTGGACGACAGAGTGAGACTCCAAATCAAAAAAAAAAAAAAAAAAAAGAAATACAAAATACATATGGAATAGGTAAATAGAAAACTATGAAAGAATGGCCTATAAAGAAAGGAAGTACTGATACATTTATGCATGAATATAGAGTTACTAAGACAAAATCGAATAATATTTAAGCAAATATTACTCCCTGGATATGAAAAAAATATCAAAAGTTACCACAAATATTCTGCAAAACATAGTATAGTTAATGTGTGTAAGAAGAGGTCACATCTAGGAAAAAAGGAAAAACATGAGATTAGGAGACATGAATCATTAACATAAGAGAGTTGAGTTCATCTTCACGGAATATTCCAGTAAATGCAATCTTGATATGAGCTTTATATATTTGCTATTATGAGAGTATACATGTTTATACAAATAAATATTCATGAGGATACATATTACTTGAGATGCACTTCTAAGATAGCCTAGTAGCTGGAATATTTAAAAGTAAAATAGTCTCATTTTATACTGTGGCTTTTCTTTTTTATTTTTCAGTTTTTGTATATCACTGATATTGCCAGGATGGGAATAGTCTTAACTTCATGACTTGATGATAAACAGAGTACTGAGTGTGGTGAAAAAAGCCTATGATATCTCATCTCTTGAGAAAACATAAAAGAATTGTTACAACCTCTTGAATTATATGACTGCTTTCAGTAGTGTTGCAGTAATATCAGACTAATACATTGCAGCCCTGTTCCCTTAGTTTCAGAATCATTTGATTGTCCCAGAAATGTTTTGCTACTAAAATGCGACCTTTATTATGAATGTGGCTCTGTTGGTGACCATGGATTAGCTGTGGGCCAGGGATGGTATCTGATGCTGGACTCCAGAATGAGGCACATTCAGCCTGCAAGCCACAGACATTGCTGGAAGGCATGAGCACAGTTGTGAAACTTTAGGCATGGTGGACAGAGTGAGATGAGCAGGTTTCAAAACAGGAAAATAGAGAGGGAGCACCATAGGCCAAACTCATTCATCATATCCTTTTCCTTCTCCTGGAAAGTATATCTGAGAAGGTGGAGAGGCCAGAAGAGTCCCTTGGATGACCATCCTGCCACATAGGAATATCTGGGGAGGAAAGGAGTCTCCCCTTTTATAAATACAAAGAAAAAAGGCAATTTCTCAACATGTGTAGGCTTTTGAGTACATTTTTGAATTTTCAGAGCCTTATGTTCGAAATACTCCTGCCTTCCAGGAAGTATGTTGAATGAAAATTCCCAAAATGTTGACTTGGTTTGCCTTGTGATACTAAACGAGTCTATTTGTCATTTTGAAATG